TTATTTTTTATATTTTTTAAAAATTTATTACAAAATAATACAATTAATGCATTAAAAGCCCTTTAACTGTAGTACATTTTTATGGAATTGAGGAGGGAGAATTTGGGTCACGGGCCATGGCCCAGGGGCCTTCGAATGTTGAACGTTGACCAAGTATAGGCCACCCGTTTTCCCTTATCTTTTTTTTATTTTGAAGAAGGTGCCATCTAGCCCTTATACTTTCAATATTGTGTTATGTCAGCTCCTTTACTTTAAATTAGTGCAAATAGCCCCCTATACTACTCCAAATTTGCGAATGGGCCCTTCTAATAACGATGATGCCATTTTTTCGTTAAACCATCCATTGACTTAAAATTGGATGACCAAGTGATGAGTTGGACAAAATAATGCAAATAAGGGAAAGCTCACGTGACAATGGAATGGTTTGATAAAAAATGATTACATAAATAGATTTAATTAGAGATTTAAGGTTTTTACTTTCAACTGCTATATTTCATTTAAAACTCTTTTTCTCATTCTCAATTCTTTCCATCTTTATGTGACTAAAGATGTTTGATACACTGCTTTTACTTCTTTTTTTTTTTTTATTATTAGAGTTCACATGAATTGTGGAGTAGATTGTTATTAATGCTATTTATGGAATATCCACATGAGTTGAAGTAAAATCACAAATGATTAAGCTTGGATTTTTACTGTCCATGCCTATAATTTAGGCCACTTCCTTTCCCATGGAATCATCGTTTTTACCATCCTCAAGTTATTAGAAGAACTTCTAGGTGAAAAGCCGATTGAGCTCGATCATACAAACCTTCATATTGTATAGAACATCAGATGGATACATAATGGGTTTCATCCCCATCAAAGAAGATGTGCCATGAATGATATAAAATCTTTGATAGTATGATGTTGGCTTTATAGAAGTTAAGGTAGGTAGGGAGATTTTTTTGATGTAAATAATTTTTTTTTTTGAAAATTGGTGAGGGAAGGGTTGCAATTTGGTGAAGATAAAGCTGTCTCAGGTGTAAGTGCACTCACACAGGATGAGCCTTAACTTTTGCGCATGATGGATCAATGAACATGGATTTCTTCAATGTAAATAACGTCATCATTATTAAAAGGGCTTATTTTGCCCAACTCATCACCTAGTCATCCATTCTTGACAGGGCAATAGAGGATTCAATAGAAAAATAATGTCATCGATATTAAAAGGGCTCATTTGCGGAGTTTGAGTAGTAGAGGGGGTATTTTGCACTAGTTTAAAGTAGAAGGGCTAACATGCCGTAACATTGAAAGTACAAGGGCTCAAGTTCAGCTTCTGCCTTTTTTGACTTTTTGTTAGTTTTAGTTCTAGATCTAACATTTCTTGGTCTCTTCTCGCCTTCTTTATCTTTTTTGTATCTTTTTCCTTAGGTCTGGTTCGTTTCATTCTATCTCTTCTACTTCTTGTTTCTACTTTCAGTAAGATCTATTAGAGGAGCGGCCAAAGGAAGAAAGAAAAAGAAGAAAAAAATGGTTAAGTTTACAGTCTTGGTGTTGTCAGCCACGGCATCAGAGCCTAAATAATTCAAGGTAGGCAGATCTTGGTGTTCTTTTCTCTGTAGCCCGTCTTTGTCTTCTTAATTCTCTCCATGTTTTTGTTTGTATTTTCCTTCACTCCTACAGTTCCCGTTGTTTAGAAAAGAAAATTCTATGCCATCAAACTACCCAGAGCTTGAATTAATAGATTCTTTCAGAGCGAATGTGAACACTAAGTTTCTTTCGATTTTTTTTTTATAATAATTTCTTTTGATTTCTTGTTTCTTTAATTTTTTTCCTCTTCTAATTTTTTTTTATCAAATGGTTATTTAGAGCACCGCAAACCAGGCATGTGGTATGAACACCAATTAGAATTTTAAAATTATCAAAAAAATTTAAAATATTCTTTCTAAAAATATTTATTTTTATTTAATTTAATTAATCAAAATATAATTAATAATTA